AGATTTGTTCATTCTTCTGGCAGTCCATGGTATATTCAATATTCTTTGCCAACACCATAATTCAAAGGCATCAATTCTTCTTCAGTCTTCCTTATTCAATTAAAAATACCATGGCTTGGGTCAGGCACACCTGATAACATGTCCAAAGTTTGTGAGACAAAGTCTCACCATCCTAGCTTCTAAGGAGCATTCTGGCTGTACTTCTTTCAAAACAGATTTGCTCTTTCTTCTGGTAGTTCATGGTATATTCAATATTCTTTGTCTCCCTAATTCAAATGCATCAATTTTTCATCGGTCTTCCTTATTCATTGTCCAGTCCTCACATACATATGAGGTGACTGAAAATGCCATGGCTTGGGTCAGGTACACCTAGTCCTCAAAGTGACATCTTTGCTTTTGAACACTTTAAAGAGGTCTTTTGCAGCAGATTTGCCCAATGCAATACGTCATTTGATTTCTTGACTGCTGTTTCCATGGGCACTGATCGCAGAGCCCAGTAAAATAAAGTCCTTGACAACTTCAATATTTTCTCTATTTATCATGATGTTGCTTATTGGTCCAGCTATGAGGATGTTTGTTTTCTTTATGTTGAGGTGTAATCCTTACTGAAGGCTGTAGTCTTTGATCTTCATCAGTAAGTGCTTCAAATCCTCTTCACTTTCAGCAAGCAAAGTTGTGTCATCTGCTTATCGCAGGTTGTTAATGAGTTTTCCTCCAATCCTGATGCCACGTTCTTCTTCATATAATCCAGGTGTTTTAATTCATCTTGGTAAGCAAAAGTTATTCCACTATAGCCTTCACCTACCACTAACACTGGGAAGCTGCCAATATCTGTGAAAAAGAATCTTTTATTTATGAGCGACCCAACTGGCTTAGGGCAGTTTGCATCCACTTTCTATCCAGAGCCCTGCGCAGAGGAGAACTTAAGTCTTGACTGTCCCCTTCCTTTGAGAGATGAAGACAGATGTCACAATTCTGCTCAAAATGTCCCCAATACTTTAGGCTTTTCAAATACAGGTGATTCTTTTCCGGGCTGGTGGGGGAGGGGAAACAACCTTGAACCTTGTTTGCTTCACTTTTATGATCTCCCTTTGGCATTTCAGAGTGTGTAACTGAGCCATGGCTTGGCAGTGAGGATGCCTGGATTCCTGGCTAGGCTAAGTCAGCCACTTCACAGAGCCAAGAAAGGTGAGTAGCAGCTGGAACTGCTGAGGCTGGTAAGAGGGATGGCAAAATGAGCAATTGCAAGTACAACAGTGGAACAAGGAGTCTTCTGAGTCAGAATCTGGCAATAGCCCTTGGAGCCCTTCATTTTAGTGTCAAGGTGAGTATTCTAAGGATAAGGATTATTAATAACAATCAAATTGTATATGCTATAAAATGCCTTTGATTGCAATGGATAAAAAAATGACCATTTTGAAAAACAATCTAAATTTCCATAAATATGAGATGGTTAAATAAACTATAGTATGTCCACACATGAAAATCCAAGCAGCTGTTTAAAATAATGAGATAGATTTGTTTGTGCTGATAGAAGACTATCTCCAAAACACGTTATTGGGTAAAAAAATCAGTCAGATCTCAATTAAGCAACATTCTCTGTGTGTTATTTTAATTTCTAACAATAATGTATGTGGTTAAGAGCTATGGCTGCTAACCAAAAGGTCGGCAGTTGGAATCTACCAGCCCCTTCTTGGAAACCCTATGGGGCAGTTCTACTCTGTCCTATAGGGTCACTATGAGTCGGCATCGACTCAAAGGCAACAGGTTTGGGTTGTTTTATTTTTTTTAATATAATTAAGAAATATAATAAGAAAAATAAAAAGTCTGGGTAGAAGTACAATGTCTTAAACTTCAGGTTTTATGCGGAAAGATGAAATTGCTCTTGGAGCTGAGCTATACGGCACCGGAAGCCAAGAGGTGTCTGGGCATGTCTTGTGACCCCTAGGTGATAGCAGTAATTGCTTTCGGCCCTGCTTCTCTGCCTCTTACTTTCTCCAGCTATAAACAAGGTTATAATTCTGGTCACAGTCATTTCACCCATTGAAATGCATAGATCCTGAGGTTTCCTGAGGTAATATTGGCAAAGCTCAAAGACCATTCCCCTGTTTATTCTGACTATAGATTTTTTATAAAACCCATTGCCACAGAGTCCATTCCGACTGACAGTCACCCAACAGGAAAGAGCAGAAGTGCCCCATAGAGTTTCCAAAGCTGTAATCTTTATAGAAGCAGATTGACACATCTTTCTCCCGTGGAGCGATTGGTGGGTTCGAACCACTGACCTTTCAAGTTAGCAGCTGAGCGCTTTAACCACTGTGCCGCTAGGGCTCCATATTGTTGATACTGGGTTGCTAAATGATTGCAGAACCAGCTAAGAGCTTAGTTGTTTTCATTCATCTTGATAAGGAAAAGCTATGCCCAGTTTGAGCCATGACGAAGCCGAACATACAAATTTCAGAACTTACCCTACTAGGTGAACTTTTAAAGAAAGGAAGCTCCTTACACACAAATGACAGAGAACTTTCCTCTAGTTGAGAAGTTTTGTTTTCAAATTTGATGAATAAGAATGATTTGAAAATACAGTTTTGTTTTGTGTGTTGTTAGGGAGAAAAATGCATCAGAATCTCTTTTTGGAAAGCAAATCTTCTCATGTTTCATAATGACAAACTAGATCAACATGGAAAAAGGTGGAGCGGCAAGCAGGGCAGTGATTATGCTGGTCCTGACCCCCCACCCCCACCCAGGATCTGCCCAATTCGCCCCTTTAAGTTCTGCCCATTCCATCAACCATTCCTCAAGTGCCATTCTTCTGCAGAACCTCCCTTATAGAATCAGCCAGGTTTTAGGGAATAATTAAATGATCAGAGGAGGGACAGAGCTTGGTGAACCATTCTAACCCCTTTTACTTGCATTCTTTGAGGTGACTTGAACACTGTAAAATCTTTTAATCAGTTTTCATTGGGGCCTGAATGGGTTCAGGAAGGAACTGCCCCAGGAAATCCACTCTGGGCTCAGTGATTCTCTGCCACTATTGAAAGGAATCAAAACACTTCAGCCTAACTTCCACCACTACTTAATACTTTTGTAGCAAATTACTTAATGTTTCTCTGTCTCAGTATCTTCCTTTGTAAAATGAGAGCATTGATCTTGCCCCATCTTAGAAGGCCCTGACAGCTCTGGGATGCCATATTCAAGACCCTTGATCAACCCATGGTTCCTCCCCAATATCTCCTAACATTCCCCTCAGTTTGGGTTAGGCTGGAACAAAAAGGCATAAGAAATGGTAGGAAAAGCTTAAATTTTTTCTGTGTCACTTCTCACTTAGAAAAAGGGCCCAAAGTAAATAGTAATGGCTGTATTCCCATCTAAGAAAAGACCAGGAGATTTCCTTTAAGTGAACTCTGTTTTGGGATGGGATATTAAGAGACCAGAACATATGACGTAGGAGTTATTGAGAGGGTTCTTCCTTGTCAGTGTTTCAGTTCTGGGGGTTGTTGTCTCATTCTGAAAGTTCCAGAAAATCCACCCACTAGCTGATCAGTTAAAGAGGGGAAGAAGAGCATGGCAGCCACATTTGTTACTTGGGTGAGTTTAGGGGAGTGATCGACACAGAAAGGTCAAAATAACGGCCTAATTAGCACTCCCCTCCATAAATATCTCCCTTCCCTCACTCTTGCCTCCTTTCCTTTCCTGGAAAAATAAAGCTTTAAAATGGTTTTGAAGCTAGTAACTTCAGTTTCTCCTTGATCTGTAAAGAGGTAAGCATTTTTACATAATTTAACACCTCTGAGATAGAAATCTGAAACAGAAGTCTTTTTCAACCCTCCCTAAGGCAAAGATCATCTACCCCTCTGGCAATGTTCTCATACCTTGCTGCATCAGAATCATCTGGGTGCTTTGAAAAATACAGATTCCTAGGATCATCATAAACCCACTCAGAATCCCCTGGAAGGGGGCCCAGGATCTGCATTTTTGACAAGTTCCCACAGGTGATTCTTTTATCGATAGCATTTGAGAACTTTGGCGCATGATATAATCAAGTTATGCCTTTGCTTATACTTGGTCTCATATAATCTATCCCTGCGCCACTTGGATCCTTCTGAAGCAAAAAAAAAGAAAAAAAAGCTCCAGTTAGTATGCTGTTTTAGAACACAGTAAGAATGTCATGTGCTAATTCTGTCCAGTGACACCATGAAATAAAAGTGTATTACTGAATGCTTTCAATTTCTTATAATGATGGTAAGGTGGCATGTCATGGGGCCTTTTTAGCCCCAGACATCACTCCAGAGAATTCCAAACAGATATAGACAAGTGCCATTAGGACCCGGATCCTTTCTCCTGAGGCTATTTACACATAGGAATAGGATGTCCTGAAGCATCACTTCCCCACACTGAGGTGTTGATAAGTCTGGTTATCAGAAAGATATTATTGGGAGTGTGATATGCTGGGCATTTACATTTTCTTGATAGGTTAGTCATATGAAAGCTGACAAAGAAGGGAAAAGAGCAGCGATGTGGTGCAATATCAACAGACAGCTGTCCCCTGGCTTCTTGATAAATAGGATGACTCACATTGCTGAGTGGTGTGGTCACTGCCAGAGGAATGGCCCTCTCACATTTCTTCCTGATTCACATATTCTGTGGGGTTGGCTTGTTGGCCCCTCCCTCTTCGGCTTCCCAGACACTGAGTCTGGAATGAAAATTCACCTGCCTCTGAGTTGGCCGCCGAGGCGGTGTAGGGGTGTTACTTGGGTTCCCAGGTTGGAAGATTATCTCACCCAGCCCAAGCTATATAAGCTGACTGGTGTGGACTGGCTCAGCAGAGCCGACTCCAGGGGTTCATTCCATAGAAGCGAAACATACAGACCTACTTCGGGCAAAAATGATGGTACTGAAAGTAGAGGAGCTGGTATGTAAGACTTATTATCTTTACTGAATGAAAAATGGCTCAGTCTTTTTTTTATTTGAAAATTTTCTTTCAGGCATGATGCATAGTTATTCTGAAAATATCACATGTGGAAAATTGTTGGTTGATGTGATGGAGTAAGTGAAACTGGAAAAAACGAACTGTCAGTAATGAATTATCTGCATCTTGTCCGTTTTTTATCCTCTTTGGTTTCATGACTAAAGTATGGAATCACGTGTAATTATCAAAATGCCTTAGAGAAGATGTTCTATTTCAAGAAAATATATCCGGAAACTCTATAACTCAAGGCCAAGAGTCATCAAAAGTACCTAAAATTGAAGAATTTTAAATAATCAGAGGGGGTTGTAGCTTTCCTAGGAAAGATATGATTAAGCAAATTAAAAATTGATGTAAACATGTCAACCTTACTCAAACTTTTGTTTAAACAAGAGACTAAGACAAGTACCTGAAAGCAATCCTGGAACACCTGTAGCTGCTTGTTGTACCAAGGCAGGCCATCACCAGGGAGGGCGACCAAGGACTTCCTGTGGCATCTTCTGTGGAGAGTGACCCAGCCAGGCCCTGCTGCTCTGACCCTGCCGTCTTCTTCTGTAGGTCATGGGGAAAAAGAATGGCAACGGAGAGACAGGGGAGTTCCTGCCTGAGGATTTCAGAGATGGAGAGTACGAAGCTGCTGTTACTTTAGAGAAGCAAGATGACCGGAAAACACTTCCTGGTCACCATGAGAGCCTGAGGGAGCAACAGTGGAAAAGTGAGAAAGAGAGAGAGGCAGAGGTAAGAACTTTCTCGAGGAGTCCACGAGTTGGAGGTTGGGGTTGCGGTGGGGGACGGAGATGCCAGGGAGGAAGGAGAGAAGAAAGAAACAAAATAAATGCAACCATTCCAAAGGCTTTCCTTTATCAAATTCTAACCCATAAAGAAGCAATTTATATGGAGCAGGTTGTGGGAAACAATTCTTTGACAAGACTATCACTTCTGGATTCTGACTCAATGATTTAATGTGCTATGACCATGTCCTGATGGAAAGATAGGCTTGGAAAGAAAAGCATGTCTAGTGGATTTCTGATGTTACATGCTGTCTAGTTAATTCCAACCAAGAGAGACGTTTTTTCCTCAGTGACACGGTTTGCAGACCATGGATTATTGTTTTGACTATGTCCACTGTCTGTGCTGACACAATCTGTGTTGCTGGGTGAATTTTTATTTTTCACTAACCACAGATAAAACACAAATTAGTTAGCTATCGTCCCGAGACAGTCTGTTTCACAGTTCCTGTTTAGCGGGCTACTTGAAAGAGATAGGTATTAATATTTCAGAATTTTATGCTTATTATTGGATTCTTTCGGGTTAAAATTTTTTTTTTTTAATTTTTGAGGATGATAAAACAAATTCCACAGAAATCTGGGGCTTATTTATGCCAGTAATTACAAAATAGACACTTAGGGATTAGATTGTGTCTCCCATTAGTCAAGGGCTGATTCTACAAGCAAAGAAAGTGAAGATAAAGGAATTAACTGAAAATGAAGCCCCCAACTACCTTAATAAGAAACACTACATTGAAGTCAAAGGTTTATTTTAAAATCTTTAATTTTTTTTGGCTTGAACTTTTTGCTAAAAGGATTTACTTCAGACCCTTCAGAGTTTGTTTAGACACAACCAGAACCCTTGTCGGTAGAGCCCACCATGTTATGAAATGTGAATTTCTATTTTAGCTCAAGAAGAAGAAACTAGAACAGAGATCAAAGCTTGAAAATTTAGAAGACCTTGAAACAATCATTCAGCTCAAGAAAAGAAAAAAATACAGGAAAACAAAAGTTCCAGTGGTGAAGGAATCTGAACCTGAAATCATTGTAAGGGCTGTTCAGTTTTGTACTACTACGCATCTGTGGTTATGCTGCCCGTTAACCAACTGCTCTTGAGTCAATTCCGACTCGTAGTGATCCTATAGGACAGAGCAGAACTTCCCCATGGGGTTTCCAAGGCTGTAATCTTTACAGAAGCAGACTGCCACATCTTTCTCCCACACAGTGGCTAGTGGGTTTGAACCACCCACCTTTTGGTTAGCAGCTGAGTGCTTAACCACTGCCCCACCAGGGCTCCTGTGGGGTTGTGCTACATTGGTATAAATATCTGTGAAGGGTTTGGTTGAATGTTAGAAAGATCACAGTAATGCTTATACTAGGTTTTTGGCTTTAGACAGAACCTGTGGATGTGCCTAGGTTTCTGAAGGCTGCGCTGGAGAACAAACTGCCAGTAATAGAAAAATTCTTGTCAGACAAGAACAATCCAGATGTCTGTGATGAGGTAAGGTTTATGCAAAGTACTGAAAAATCCAGTTCATTAATTCTGTGTTTCTTATGCTTTACTGCAGCCTTGCTAATATGGTGCCAAAATCATTCCACCTGAAATAGTTTTCTCAGCTGTTGCCACGTATGCCAAGGATCAAAATAGGAGAGCACAGTGGTTCCCTCCCTCAAAAAAAAAAAAAAAAAAAGATCTGAATTAGTGCTATGGATTGCATTGTTTTCTATACTCCACCATACGTCTAGCTGATTTTTCTGTCTGTCTTTAACTTCTTAGATTCTTGGTAAATAAGACAGGGCTAACAACTCCCCTTTGGAGAAATATACCCTTAGCATCATCTTTGCTTGGACCCAAACACATCAGTGCTAGACTAAGAATCTGGAGACTGGAGTTCAAGGCCTAGCTCTATCACTACTTGGCTATTTGATCTTTAGCAGCTAATTTACATTCTCTAGGCCTTGGTTTCCTTTCTGTAAACGGAAGGTATTGGAGTGAAATAACACCTAAAGTTGTTCCAGCTCTGTTGTGTTGTTAGGTGTCATTGAGTCAATTTCAACTCATAGTGACCCCATGTGACAGAGTAGAACTGCCCTATAGGGTTTTCTAGGCTGTAATCTTTATGGGAGCAGATCGCCAGGTATTTCTCCCACGGAGCCACTGGGTGTGTTTGAACTGCCAACCTTCAGGGTAGCAGCCGAGCTTAAGCACTGCATCTCTAGGGCTCTTGTTCCAGCTCTAATAGTCTATTAATCCATTTATTTGAAGTCAATTTATCAGAAAACATAAGTCGCTTTTGCATTCTTTCCCCCATAAATTGAAATGGGGGATCATTTCTAAAACTGAACTAGAGAAATGAGTCTTTTAAAAATGAATTGACTACTTTTTGATATTCAACCTAGCTATAGAGCAAGATGGAAGAAAACCATCTGATCTGCATGGCAGATGCTACACAAACAATGGAGGTACAAAATTCAAGAAAAGGAAATGTCAACATTTAGGTAGTTTTGAACCTTTAAGTTTGCATCCTTCAATGTAGACCTCTGAGTATTTAGAAACGTACATTACAGGAAGCGCAAATCTCGATTGCAGAATAATTGTTCTAGTTGTTCTGCAATTTTAGTAAATTTGAGATTTCTAGTTCATAAATATGCACTCGAGTTTCTATCAATTAGGTCATCAGAGTTCCCAGCCTCATGCCTCTTAGTTGAAAAGGAAAGGATTTATGCACATTCTCGAATGCATTGCTATCTCTTTTTTCATCTCTATCCTGACAGTATAAACGGACAGCTCTTCATAGAGCCTGTTTGGAAGGACATTTGGCAATTGTGGAGAAGTTAATGGAGGCTGGAGCCCAGATCGAATTCCGTGATATGGTAAATATATTTCTTTGCTTGGAAATGAGCCAAAATAAATCAACTATACCAAGCTTGAAAAAAACTACAATGAAAAACTGGGCTGATGGGATTGAAAATTGATCTGAAAGCACTCATTTCTCTGTACAAAAGAAAGTTGGGAGATGGGACTAGGTCATGTGGAAAGTATTTTCCATACATATTGAAAAGGAGAGGAGTGTTCCAGTGAAAGAAGGAAGTACAAGCTGTCAAACAGATTTCAATATCCTCATCAGAGAGTTGGGTCATTATCAAGACAGTAGCATTACTGAGAAGTTACCCATTTGCCGCTTGTCTTTCAGCACACCCTGTCCTTCCATTATACCTGGCAGCCTGCTCATGGCCCCTTGACTGCCAGCAACAGATCAGAATTCTCTAGTTGCACACTTTACATGATAGATGCCGATTACCATTGGTGAGACTTGGGGCTAGACTGTATACTAACTGAATTTCATCTACAGAAAGTAGCTGCTCTTCAGACCTCAGTAATTCAGACACTGTGATTTCTACTAAGACCAGCATATAGCATACTTTATGAACCGAAGCCTGGGCTTGGAAAAAGCTTCATTTATTTAAACAAAGCCCAATTTGATTTCATAGCAAAGTGGAAAGTGGTAATAGGCAGCTTCTGTCTGGAGGTGAGATGAGAAGGCAGAGAGGGTTAGGAGCCGGTTTAATGGACACGGGAAATCAGAGGTGGAAAGGAGGAGTGTGCTGTCACAGTGTAAGGAGAGCAATTAGGGTCACATAACAATGTATGTATAAATTTTTGTATGAGAGACTAACTTGAAATGTAAACTTTCACTTGAACTACAACAATAAACAAAAAAAAGAAAAAGTGGAAAGTGGATACCAAAAACTTGCAAAGGACTTAGCCAAAATGGAAGCCAAAAGACAAACACTTTAAAAAAAAAAAAAAGAAAAAGTAGAAGAAATAAAAAAAAAAAAATGCTTGCATGTAAAACCTGTTGCAGTCAAGTCTCATAACAACCCTATAGGACAGAGTAGAACTGTCCCATGGGGTTTCCAAGGCTATAATCTTGACAGAAGCAGACTGCCATATCTTTTTCCCATGGAGTGGCTGGTGGGTTCTAACCACCAAACTTTTGGTTAGCAGGCAAGCGCTTAACCACTGCGCCACACTAAAAATCATAGGTGTAGGATTTGGAAGGCCAGGGGCATATCAAATAGATCAGTGATAAGGGAGCCCTGGATGAACCAATACAGTGTGTGCAGTGACCACAGTTGAGAGCAGTTGAGACAGAGGCTGTGCTAGCATAAAGGACGGCAGAGAAGCAACAAGAGATGGATAAAGAGCAACAGGGACCCAGGATGATCTGTCAGATCTGAATTAAAATCTTCTGGAAGGGACTACTTTCATTCTGCCTGAGTTTTATAAATAGATTCGTCTAGAACTTTTGTGTGTATTTGGCAAAAGTGGTTAGAAGTTCTGGGTAGATGTGGATTTGAATATTTCTTTTGCCACTTACTAGCTGTGTGTTCTTGGGCAAGTAAGTTGAACTTTCTGGAGCCTTGCTTTTCTCATCTGTAAAATGAGCATAGTAACACCTACTTCAAAATGTTGCTGTCGGGATAGATGTGTCTAGAGTGTGTAGCACAAGGGTGAAACTTAGTAAATCCTCAGTAAATGGTAGTTCTTATGTTTTTTTAATTAGTTGGTTTCTGAAGAGCCTCCTAATGATACACACACATGCACACAAATACACATGAGTACATACACTCACACATACAGGCCAGCTAAAACCATTGGGCAAGAATCTTCAACTACAATAGATAGAATTAGCAATCCAGATGAGAGCAACCCAGTGTTACCAAAGAAGTCCTAGCAAACCTCAGGATCTCCTGGGCCTTAGAAACCAAGTATTAATTCCCTTGACCAGCTTCTTATTGACATTCTCATGTCCATTTACTTCCCGGTATAGCTCGAATCCACAGCCATCCACTGGGCAAGCCGTGGAGGAAACCTGTATGTCTTAAAGTTGCTGCTGAACAAAGGAGCAAAAATCAACGCCCGAGATAAGGTATTTCTCGTCCTCCTTCTTCTCTGCCTCCCAGCCTCATCGTTGTAGTCAGCTGAAGCCCGAGCCCCATGCAGGGGCCATAGCGGCCACTTCTCCCTCTCTTACATGCCTTGGGGTCTAGGGCAGTCTCCGTCCCGGCTCCCAGCCAATCAGCAGTCTTTGCAATTTTCCAGTTGCTCAGCACACCGCTGCATGTGGCCGTGAGGACCGGCCACTGTGAGTGCGCAGAGCATCTCATCGCCTGTGAGGCTGACCTCGACGCCAAAGACCGAGTGAGTAGCCTTGTTCGTTATTTATTTGGAATCATTCCTCAACCTGGGGTTCTCTTGCGGGGCCCACTTTCCGGCTTCAGAGCCACCCTGAGCCTGTTTTTTCTGCTTCTCTAGGAAGGAGATACCCCTCTGCATGACGCCGTGAGACTGAATCGGTATAAAATGATCAGACTCCTGATTCTGTATGGCGCGGACCTCAACATCAAGAACTGTGTAAGTACTAGAAACAAGGGCACTACCTTTGGGATTTCTAATTTACAGAAACGTGTCTTAAATACGTGAAAATATTCCCACAGTGGTAGTATTTGATGGAGGGTGGAATCTTGTGATGGTTTAAATGTCCCTGTCAATTTCCATAAGGACATTGTAAACCTTGGTAATAATAACTCAGGTCACTTGGTCAGAGATGGAGGAAGATGTAGTGACTGATACGACTTCAGTGGGAATCCCTGGGTGATGCAAACAGCACTTTTGGCTGCTAACCAAAAGGTTGGTGATTTGAGCCTAGACAGAGGTGCATTTGAAGACAGGCCTGGCAATCTACTTCCAAAAAAAATCAGCCATTGAAAACCTTATAGAGCACAGTTCTACTCTGACACCCACGAGGTCACCATAAGTTGGAATCTATTTGACGGCAGCTGGTTTTTTGAATGACTTCAGTGCATAGTATGTTGTTGCTCTTATGTGCCAACAAGTAGATCCTGACTCATAGCAACCGTATAGGACAGAGTAGAACTGCCCCCATAGGGTTTCCTAAGCTGTAATCTTTACAAGAGCAGATCGCCAGGTCTTATCTCCTGTGGAGCAGCTGGTGGGTTTGAACTGCTGACCTTTTGGTTAGCAGCTGAACACTTAACCATTGCTCCACTAGGGCTCCTTAGTGTATAATATAGTACCTAATAACTCTTAAAATTTGGTCTTGAAAATAAAAGGTGCTCAAAACTATTCACCTTCACAAACACCTGTGTCAGAGAAGACCAGTCTGCCTCGGCCATCCTTGGCTGTGCAAGACCTGGGGTAGTTAGGAATATAGGCACCCACCTTCCCCAAAATGATCTAAAGTTCTGCAGTGGTCAGTGCAGCCAAGGGCCAATGAGTTCAAATGAATCAATATTCAACCCGAGTAATTCTGAATGGTCCTCTCTTCCTTGTACCACTGTGAAATGTGTTAACTTTCTTCCAGGGTAGCCATGCTTTTGCCTACGTTTCTGGAATAATTTCCATTCATTTTCCACTTTGTTTCTCTGCACATCCCTCAAAATAATTCCTTTTCTCAGGCCCTGAAAATGCTGTATAAGTCCCTTCTATAAGTATTAATTTAATTTCACCTCTAAGCAGGGAACATAACTTTTCCTCATGGTCCCAATTCTCAGTGAAACATCATCTAATATAAGCTTAAAAAATACCACTTGGGGGAAAGGGTGTAAATTACTGAAGAAAAAATTGAAAGAAGCTTTCGGTGAATCCCTTTGCTAAGAAGGAAAAAAAAAAAAAACAGTCATCTTAGAATGTGAATAATTTTCTCCTCTTATTTGTGTTATTACGAGACTGAGAGGAATATTGTATCATAAAAAATAATAACTGGCTTGGTGACAGGAACAAAGAATAGTGATAAATGGAGACTGCTTGAGATGGGAAAGTGTTAACAGTAGGGTTCCCTCATACTTAATATTGGGGCTAGTCTGATCTAATATTTTTTAAAACTATCTGAAAAAAAAATAGATACAATGAAATCTCCAAAGCTGCAAAAAATACAATTTTTTTTCGGCAGTGAGATGCCAGCAGTAGAGATACCTAGCATACAGAGTTAGAGAAACTGTGGAAGTAGGCAGAAAATCAGGAGATGAATTTCAATAGAGAGTAGTGCAAGGAATTTGAGAGAATAATCCAAAATATACAAACAGGGTTCCAAAAAAGTGTTCTGGACCCATTAATTTCATTGACCCCAGTGTATCAATGTTTCCAAAAAAGACCAGTAAGCTATTGGATACCATCTTAAGGTAATTGGAAACAATACACAATACATTATTTTATCCTTGTCCAAAACTGTCTTAATGTCTACCAATGAGTGTTCTTCAAGAAAGACACACAGAGGTGGGTAAGTTTTAAAATAAAGGTTACAAGGCCACTAACTCAAATGGCCACAGGGGCCAGGTAGATGGCATAAAATTTTTAAATAGGTAGCTGGTGGGTTCTGTGTACCTAACTCTTGTAAAGATGTTGGCCCTTCCCCAAGCCAGTCCATTGCAGCTATGTGGAACCACAGGTACTGTGTTGCCAGTTCTTCTGATTTTTTTCATAGAGGTCACAAATCCAATTGGGAAATCTCAGGATTTCCAAATGTTGCCAATTAATTCTAATTTAAAAGAAATGTAAGCTCTGTTGGGGACAAACAAGACAGGTCTGCAGACTGATTTGCATCTCAAAGCTGCCAGTTTGCAACCTCTGGGTTAAGAGGTAGAAACACTTCAGAATAAATAGAGGTGGAAAAATTTAGGACTTTTCATATCTAAAGACAAAAATTGAGAGGTGACACGGTTTTAATTTTTATAAATACCTTGAGACACACATATAATGGAAATAAAAGTTTGGTTTTAATAAGTTATTTACTCACATATGTCTCTGACGTCAACTCCAAGAAATTAATTTCTGGGGAGAGCCCAACATAAATTCTGAGTTCTGAGAAATCTGCTCCTAGAAGCAGTAATAATACCTGAGCAGTACCTGAGTACTTAAGCCAAGGGATTGAGGCAGCTCATTTACCGCCAATTTCTATCAATCAAGAAATCATTTTCCAAATTAATAGAAACTGGTTCTCAGTCAAGAGGGATACCACCAGCTCCCCACACCCATTCTACAAGGTTCTGGAGGTACATAAAGGCATTTTTTTTAGTTTCAAAGTGACTTGCAGTGGTACTATTGCCAGTTAGTGTCTAGGGACCAGGGATTTTACCAATACCTGGGGAAAGTCCCACAGGGAAAAGACATTACTAACCTAAAATGCCAAAAGCATCCCCTTGAGAAAAGTGAAGGCCTGGTTTGAATATAAACCGCAAATCACACGTAGTGTAAAACATTAAACACTTCTGTAACATGCACCTGTGCATTACCTCGTTAAACATACACAGGGAGAGAACGTGAATTTATAGATGCCACCCACCTGGAAGTCAAGTTTTCTCATTTATTTTGACCAGGCTGGGAAGACCCCGATGGATCTGGTGCTGCACTGGCAGAATGGAACCAAAGCAATATTCGACAGCCTCAAAGAAAACTCCTACAAAACCTCACGCATAGCTACATTCTAAGGGAAATAACAACGGACTCTTTCACCAACTGCTTTACACCGGCATTTTGAAGGCACGACCCAAGAGAAGAGCAACTACCTGTAAAACCTAGCTTTGGTTTATCAAACTGTGGTAAAGCTGTACCTAACAAAGTTTCGAGAAAGCACAGGGATATAGGCATTACATTTCCATTAGTTTAGTGAAATTCACCCTATTTATTTTTATTTATTCCAGGTTATTTATTTACTTGGATGCCACTGATATTTCGAGCCTTCCTGATAATCATTTGGTGATCAAAGCTTAAATTTGTGTATACATTTCCAGAGCCTTCCCAGAAACGGTTCTTAAACCAGAATAATGAGCAATGCTGGAAGTGCCGGCTTAGGTGTCACTTCACTCGAGTAAGGTATTTCAAGGTGTCTTTAAAAGACAAAGGTGATCATTGCAGCCCTCTTCTGAATTTTTAATGCTGAAGTTTGAAGGAAGCAACGGAAGGCATTTAGTGACAGGAAAGAAAGCAAAGTAGAGCGAAAGGGATTCCGTGAGAAGAACAGTAAAGGCAGCCATTTCTCCCCTGGGCCTGGTATGTTACCCAGTCATGCACTGTATCAAGGTGACGAGAATGTCATGAGTGTACGCGTAGGACAGTGGATGGAGCGGGCAACTGCATCATGCAGAAATGAGTTTGCTCAAAAAAGGATGAAAGTAAATACAAACTGTAAATGTGTAAATGTATATTGTGCTGTATGTACATTTTATATTCATAATAAAAACAAACTCTAAACCTCTTTCTCAGTCTTTCTATAAAGTATGGTGGGAAAGAACTGTGCGAAAAAGGCTATTTAGGAGGAGTTTTTTCATTGTCTTCCACATTTGTCCACGCGGAAGCACTTCTCAGACTTTAATTTGTATACACATCACTTGGGGGCTTGTTTAAAATGCAAACTCTTATTTAGATGAGGTGGGTCCTGAGACTGTATTTCTAACAAGCTTCCAGGTGTGAGCTGTGGTGTGCCGCCATCACACTTTGAGCAACAAGGCTGTGAGAACCATACGGTTACAAAGGAGTTAAAGTTCTCTCAGGCCTAATGATGCGGAGAAAGAGACCCCTGGTGGGTGCAGTGATTACTGCAAGTTAATCAAGTGTTTCTTAGGAAGTTTCCACCAGAGCTTGACTGAAAAGAAAAAAAAAAAATCAAAACTAAACCATTGCCATCGAGTCAATTCCAACTCATAGTAACGCTATAGGACAGAGGGGAGCTGCATCATAGGGTTTCCAAGGAGCGCCTGGTGGATTCGAACTACCGACCTTTTGGTTAGCGGCAGTGGCACGAGCTGGCAGTGCCAAAGGCTTCCCACGACGGAACACACCCGATCAATGATTTCTGACCTTTAAAGTTATTTTGTTGCCAGATGCTGGGCCAGGTGCCTCAGACGTGGTGAGAAAAATGGACCATCCCTGCCCTGACCCGTGGAATAGAAAAGTATTAAATAATCACAGAAATAAATACACAGTAGCAATCTGTAGTAAGTCCAATGACAGAAAAAGTACAGAGTGCTATCAGAGTATGTAAGATGCGGAGAAGAGGCATAACTAAGTTATGGCAGGTAGGGCGTGCGCCCTGGCTGCCGCCTGACGAGTGCGCTAATGAGCCGTTTCTATCGGCCATTGCAGTTTCCATCACCAGCTGTGAACGATCTTTCAGCAAATTAAAACTAATTGCCATAGACACTTCATAGATGGGCCCCTGATGTGGAGGCACATAATTTGATAAGGAGGGGGAGTTCTACAAAAACTTCTTTGAGGTGGGACTTTGAAGGTGGGTTTAAAGGATAAGTTACAGTCATTCAAGTAGAGTGTTCTAGGCAACAGGAAGAGCATGGGGAAGGGCAAGCATTGGGGACAGTTTGGCACTTGCGGAAATTTATGGAGGTCAGTGAAGCCCAATGTGGAACATAGAATTTGCTAGGATGAGTACCCCTCAAAAAACTCATTCCAGATAGGATCATATACATAACCTCTTAGATACGCCTCTAACATTTGGGAGGGTGTGTAGAAAGTCTTTCAGTTAGCTGGCCATGAACACATGCAGAGTTGTGAGGATTGTTTGAATTATTTTTGTACTTTTCTTCCTAGTCTCCTGTCAATCCATAGAGTCCACCTCCCACAAACATTGAAAGTTTTGTTCTGTCTGTCATCTTCCTTTCTTCCAATCCCCTTTTGCCAGACCTTTGCCCTCCCTGCAGGGTTGTGGCTCTAACTTGGCAGACCCTTAAGGCTCAGGGTCCTACTAGTTCTTCAGAGTAAAGCACCTGCAACACAGTCAACTTGCTGATGTCTCCCTTGGTATAACCTGGATGTGGTGTTATGCAACGAAATTCTTTTTATAATGTCCTCCTCAACTCTCCCTCTCCACAAGAGGTGGGAGGATAAAGAAGAGAAAGGAGTGAGGAGTTAAAAAACAATTCGTGTTGCCACATATAAATATTTGCACTAGTATAGAGGTAGAGGGTATAAGAGACAACATGGAATAAATCCAAGTGGAATGAAGCCAACCCGAGTTATCTCTGCTAATGGAAAGGATAAACACTTCAGGCAAAAATTCCAAGTCTCCATCACACAAGTGGTCAACTTTTATAAGCTCTTCACCTTCCCACCTGACTCAGCTCTTGGCCCACAATCAGTCTTTTGTCTTTCGTTCTCTCAGTGAAGGGCACATCCCATGGCCAATCAAGAATCCTGGAAGTTGTTCTTGACCTTTTCTTTCCCTCACTCCTACCTTAGTCAACCACCAAGTCTTCTTACCAAGTATGTTGTTGTTGTTATTAGGTGCCGTCCAGTTGGTTCTGATTCATAGCAACCCTATATACAATAGAACGAAACATTGCCCAGTCTTGCGCCCTTCTCACAGTCATTGTTATGCTTGAGCCCATTGTTGCACTCACTGTGTCAATCCATCTTGTTGAGGGTCTTCCTCTTTTTTGCTGACCCTCTATTTTACCAAGCATGATATCCTTCTCCAGGGACTGATACCTCCTGATAACATGTCCAAAGTGTGTGAAACATAGTCTCGCCATCCTTGCTTCTAAGGAGAATTCTGGTTGTACTTCTTCCAAGACAGATTTGTTCCTTCTTTTAGCAGTCCATGGTATATTCAGTATTCTTCACTGACACCACAATTCAAAGGCATCAATTCTTCTTTGGTCTTCCTTATTCATCGTCTAGCTTTCACGTACATATGAGGCAACTGAAAATATCATGACTTGGGTCAGGTGCACCTTAGTCTTTAAGGTGACATCTTTGCTTTTCAACACTTTAAAGAGGTCTTTTGCAGCAGATTTGCCCAATGCAATGGATCTTTTGATTCCTTGACTGCTGCTTCCATGGGTGTTGATTGTGAATCCAAGTAAAATGAAATCCTTGACAACTTCAATCTTTTCTCCGTTTATCATGATGTTGCTTATTGGTCCAGTTGTGAGGATTTTTGTTTTGTTTACATTGAGGTATAATCCATACTGAAGGCTGTGTTCTTTGATCTTCGTCAGTAAGTGCTTCAACTCCTCTTCACTTTCAGCAAGCAAGGTTGTGTCATCTTCATAACGCAGGTTGTTAATGAGTCTTCCTCCAATCCTGATGCTGTGTTCTTCTTCATATAGTCCAGCTTCTCAGATTATTTGCTCAGCATACACGTTAAATAGGTATGGTGAAAGGATACAGCCCTGTAGCACACCTTTCCTGACTTTAAACTATGCAGTATCCTCTTGTTCTATTTGAAGGACTGCCTCTTGAGCTATATACAGTTTCCTCGTGAGCACAGTTAAGTGTTCTGGAATTCCCATTCTTTGCAATGTTATCCATAATTTATTATGATCCACACAGTCGAATGCCTTTGCATAGTCCATAAAACACAGATAAACATCTTTCTGGTATTCTCTGCTCTTAGCCAGGATCCATCTGACATCAGCAATGATATCCCTGGTTCCATGTCCTCTTCTGAATCCGGCTTCAGTTTCTGGCAGTTCCCTGTGGATATACTGCTGCAGTCACTTTTGAATGGTCTTCAGCAAAATTTTACTTGTGTGTGATATTAATGATATTGTTGCATAATTTCTGCATTATGTTGGATCACTTTTCTTTGCAACGGGCACAAATATGGATCTCTTCCAGTCGGTTGGACAAGTAGCTGTCTCCCAAATTTCTTGGCATAGATGAGTGATCACTTCCAGTACTGCATCCATTTGTTGAAACATCTCAATTAGTATTCCGTCAATTCCTGGAGCCTTATTTTTTGCCAATGCCTTCAGTGCAGCTTGGACTTCTTCCTTCAGTACCATCGGTTCCTGATCATATGCTACATCCTGAAATGGTTGAACGTCGACTAATTCTTTTTGACATAGTGATTCTGTGTATACCTTCCATCTTCTTTTGATGCTTGACGCGTTATTTAATATTTTCCCCACAGAATCCTTCACTATTGCAACTCAAGGCTTGAATTTTTTATTCAGTTCTTTCAGCTTGAGAATGCAGAGCATGTTCTTCCCTTTTGGTTTTCTACTGCCAGGTCTTTGCACATGTCCTTATAGTACTTTACTTTGTCTTCTCAAGCCTCCCTTTGAAATCTTCTCTTCAGCTCTTTTACTTCATCATTTCCTCTTTTTGCTTTAGCTACTCGATGTTCAAGAGTCAGTTTCAGTGTCTCTTCTGACATTCATTTTGGTCTTTTCTTTATTTCCTGCCTTTTTAATGCTTCTTGCTTTCTTCATGTATGATGTCCTTGATGTCTTTCCACAAATCATCTGGTCTTTGGTCATTAGCATTCAACGTGTCACGTCTCTTCTTGAGATGGCCTCTAAATTCAGGTGGGATATGCTCAAAGTTGTACTTTGGCTCTCATGCACTTGTTCTAATTTTCTTCAGTTTCAATTTGAACTTGCACATGACCAATTGATGGTCTGTTCCACAGTTGGCCCCTGGCCTGTTCTGACTGATGATATTGGGCTTTTCCATTTCCTCTTTCTACAGAGGTAGTTGATTTGATTCCTGTGTATTCCATCTGGTGAGGTCCACATGTATAGTTGCTGTTTATGTTGGTGAAAAAAGGTATTTGTACTGAAGAAGTCATTGGTCTTGCAAAATTCTATCATGAGATCTCTGGCATCGCTTCTATCACCAAGGCCATATTTTCCAACTACCAATCCTCTTCTTTGTCTCCAGCTTTCTCATTCCAATCACCAGTAATTATCAATGCATCCTGATTGCATGTTTGATCAATTTCAGACTTTACCAAGTATACCATGTAAATAGCTCTTTAACCTGTCCACCTCCTCCTATCCCATGTGCCACTTCCCTAGC